GCGACATATCGCGCCTGGCTTTATACGCGATGTAACATCGCGTACAGATTTATGCAAACCAAACACTCGTTGCTTTTATTTGCTAAAAAATATATATAAAAAAACATACTGTCCCTCCAGTTGCTCTATGTAGCATTTTATATGTACGTTGCAAGAATTATCTTTAAAAATATATACGTTTGGAATTTTTAAATCGTTATTAATAAAAAAAACATTGGACCTTTTGAGAAGATATGTATCGCAATATACGTGATAAATTTATATTAATTTCGCAAGAACCGAAAAGAATAGATAATCGAGGGCACGATGGAATGTGATCACACAACTGACCGGCCCATCTATATACTATTCGGACGTGCGTACATTATAAGCGATTATCCAATGTTCTCGCCTAATAATTCCGTTATGACGACTTAGATATTATAATGACTCGTCGTTTTCAAAATTTTAGATCAACTGTATATACTTAATGTTGTATTGCTGAAGGGGGTTACATTTGTAGACCGACACGTTCAATTTGTATCACGATGTTACCAATTTTATAATATATTTTGTACTAGAATTTATATAATTTATCACCCTCGTTCAGGTGACGGCTCACATTGCCCCTATTATTATTTTACTATTTTAACTGTTAACGTCAATTTCAAACTATTAGATCAGCAAATATGATGTCGGCTGATATATTAACAAATATTCCAATATGCGTACAAGAAGTTTAACTCCTGGAAATATTCAGCATTTGGATGAAAGGCAAGTTTTTGTTGTTTAAAAATCTTAAAATACAAAAATTAGTATCGTCCGATAGTGCGATAGAAATTAATTTTTGTTATACTAACAATAAGTACGATTACTTATTGTATTGCAGTCTTACACATTAATTGTAAAACTTGGCAAAAGTCAATCTCCGAAAGTTAGACGAGTTAAACGATGAAATTAATAATCGACGAGAGATATAGATGGTAATCCCATCTGTAACGTAATCGGAATTTAGAAATGTGACCCCGAGAAGAATGTTTTAGGGCGAGACCAGCGAAGAAGCGCATTAGCGCGCTGGAAAGGGTAAGTGAATGGAGAACCGAACACGGGCTAAGTTTTGGTCATTAGAAATCCGATAGCCGGATGTCTCTCTCTCTCTTTCTCCGAGCCGTTGAGTCAGTTCCCGTTACAACTCCACTGATGGACCACTCCGAGGAAAAAATTTCGAGGGATAATGCGCGGGATAATGTTCGAGGGCGCCCGGGTGTCTTCTCGGAAAAAGCACGGCGGGAATTCTCGTGCGGGAAACGTGTGTCGGGAAAAGACGGAGGCCCCTCGCGTTTCCGAGATCTGTCGATGTTTTTCTCTATTGCATAACAGGAAAAACCGTAATGTTGGACTTGTACGACGAGTTCACCGAAGCATAAATTTATGCATATTCAGGGGAGGCTATTACGCATACAGATATCTGCTTTTTTTCTCGCAACGAGTCTGTTTCCAGGGGCCAAAAAAATCGTCGTGCTGCACGACGTTTTATTCTGCGGAATGATCATTCGTAAGGTAAAGTGCTGGCGCAGTTAAAACTTCAAATATATTTAAAATATCGCGAGTGCATGTCCGCAATTTGTAACACGTACAAGCAATCATATTGACGTATTCTTGAAAAGCTTTTGACGTTTTGCCTTCAAACGTTTTGCTCCAAGTGGAATAAATTTAATTAATGATATGTAGTTTTAAAACGACCTACAATGGCCAATATTTTTATTTAAAAAAAATGACGTTTCGACTCCAGATTTGGACTCTTCAAGTAATCTGTTCACACAATTGAGTTCAATCTGACATCTCGTCCAACACACACCTCTCGATACTTTTACTTGTATTTAACAATTAACAATGCAACTTCAATTGACTTTACACTCTTCAAACAAAGAGTGCAATTATTTTTTGACCAATATCTTACTAACATCACGATATTTGCCAAACGAACGATATGAGATCATTAACAATTGTGTGAACAGATTACTTGAAAAGGATCCAAATCTGGGACCGAAACGGCGTTTTTTTCAATAAAAACATTGGCCAGTGTAGGTCGTTTTAAAAAACTACATATCGTTTTGAACTACTGGCGATAATTAAATCTATTTGTAAATTTAATTAATAACGCGCATTAAACAAACTCAGCGTGTCTTCACTGGAAAAAAATCTGGTTGCATTAATTAGAAATCTGGTGGATTCAACCAGTCGTTTGCTAGAAAACGGACGAATCAGAATTTCTTTAGGATTTATTAGATGTATAGTGAAGTCTATCAAATTTCTGGTTATGCAATATCGAGCCCTATCGTGATAACTAGAAATTCTGTTTGGTTTAACCAAAATACGTTCTCTCATACATGTCTTGTTGATAGAATCATAGCATTTTTCTCAGTGTTGGCAGGTAAAATTTGCAGAAAGCGGACCTTTTGACGACGGAAATCCGCATTCGTCGCGTATATGGTAGACAGAGCTTTAATCGCAGTACATACACAACGTTACAATTAATGCTCCTGACACTCGCCGGGATCAATTGTACTCGGATATCGTGAATGCGTAACATCTCTGTGGGAGAGCGCAGCAGTTCGGCGTTCCTGCAATGCCTCTGCCATGCTATCCTTACTAGCACTGTATGCAAAGTAGCAATTCACAGGGTACTACGTAAACAATCGTCGGAAATAGAAACCGGTCGGGGCGTGATCCTTCGGCTTGTATGTCCGAATGTCCCCGCGCTGGGCAAATTGGAAGTCAACCTCGGGTTACAAAGCTGCGGCTTTAGGGGCTAACGAGCGGGTCCAGCCACCGGAGGCCGGTTAAAATGGCTCAGAATCATGTCGCGGATATATCGTTAGAATTCAACGCGGACTCATCCATGCGACGTAATTATAAATCTCCGATAAAGGGATCACGTTCCACGGTCGTGATATTTACAGCGCAATTATTTGCACGCTGCAGTGACTGCAGTGTCCTGAGACAGTGTTGGCGCACAATTAATTGTTTATGATAAAACGCTCATGAAATACATATGGGAATTCGTGCTGAAAATTTAATTGCCACAAGCGTTGATTAATTAAAAAAATGTTTGTAGTTTTAATATATTTATGTTCAATTAATAAATATATAAAATTTCATAATTAATAAACATGAAAATTTTCTTGCTACTTTTCCCAGGATTTCATTAGTTTAATCAATTATTATTTATGCACCGGCTCATTATTTTAATTGCATTTTACCAGAGTCTGTTCTGAAGCATACTAAAAATTTATTTATGTATTCCTTCAATTGTTTGTATACATTTTCATCTAATTACCTTGTATTACCTTAATCCCGTAATTGCACCCTTTGTTATTTCGCCACGGAAATGGCTACTAGACATTTGTTGAAGATATTGCATAACTTTTTTCATATACCCCAATAATATGTCTAGGTTTTTTTTAATAATAATTTTATTTACGTATTTCAAAGTGAGAACTTTACTTATTCGCGTTATGTAATCTATTATGCTGAAATAATAAAAGCCTCATTATACCTTGATGTAACTTTCGCAGAAGCCGATAACAGTTTCGCGAGAATACTTTCACCTCGTCGTTTTCTACGTCTTACACATTCCCCTTTCTTAGTTTCCATGGTGTCTTCGATATGCATTGACGTTTCTGATATGCGATATCAGGAATATAATGGGGGGAGCCTACTAGGATACGAGACAAATGATGCGTGAATAACGAGGACGGTATCACGGTTGAACGAACCATTGTCAGTTGCCGACGCGTGAATATTCGACGGCTACACGCGAAATATCGTTCTAACAAGCATATCGCGAACGAAGTTAATAAACGTTTAGCAATAACATTAGCGCTACTTTCTCAGATTGAAAACCGAGTCGCCGTAATTTTCTCGCGGAAAAGGCGCTTGAAATAAATTGAGAAAAAAAAATTAGAATAAATATAGCTGCGGAATAAAGCGCGGCAATTATCTCGCCGTCATCGCGGCGTGCAGTTCCTCCGAATTCTAATGAGATCCGAGCGGAGCGAAAGAGAGATTTTAATAAATGCGCGAACGGCGACCGCGCTGAAGAGGATTTCCCGCTCAAGTATTTCCGCCGATATTTCTTCGTCGATCTTGAAAGTAATTCCGTCGCTCGATACCGCTCCATAAATATTTTCGTAAGACGCCGCGCGCCGCGCGGCTATTTTCCCCGCCTGCCCGCGCACGGATGATCGCTCATTGTGATCAACGACGTGTACGAAACGCAGGATGCGGCATGCTTAAAGTTTTCCCGGCTACGGCGAATAAGAATGTTGAACTTTCGATAGCGATAGCGACGATTTATCACCCGCCAAATCTCTTACGTCGAGCCGAAAGTATCAAGGATTTTTGCCCCCGCACGCGTTACGTCACGCCGAAATTTCTCGCCCGCCGCACGCCAAACGCCAAATTTATGGAGATTGATCCTGCCGGTTTAATACCGTAATAATTTCTGAATATGCATGTCGCGCCGGTTTAATTCTCATGTGGCCGGTTATTGGCAATATGTAAAGCCAGTGTGGGCGATACTTTTAAATTACGCTAAGTGCATTTGGCGCAGAAAAGCCCCATCGCTTCTTGTTACTTTGACAAGTAATTGACTGCAATATACGTACAGCCTGCGGTATATACCATACACACTCGTATATACCCGCACGTTTGTTGTAGATATTGCCTTATTATTTTATACCATAAATCCTATCGTAAATATTGGTATAACCACATCTTCTTTTCATTTCAATTCATTTTCCCTCGACTATACTGTCGTATCGTTAAGCTGATTATCAGACAATGAACGTCGTCAGCTTGTTTCATTCCGCGGTAACAAAAAAGTTCGCGGAAATTTGCAGCAAAACGAAATCTTTCGAACAAGCTCGAAGGAATAACCTTACGAACTCGGCCATAGGGAAAGAAAGGATAGCAGAGTAAAATCAATTGGGAACATTATTCGCTCCGTCTGTACTCACCGATCTCCGGTATGTTCCTGTCATGATCGCCCGCGGCTAAAAACTGAAACATAAAAATAGTTTACGGTCAGACACAATGTTCTCGGATTAAAATGAAGATGAAAATTGCACGAGACGGGAAAATGGGGGAAAAATTAAAACTTTAAGGCCCGGTTGCACCAACGTCGCTTAACTTTACCCTTAATTCACTCTTTGTCTCTTTCTGAGGGCAACGGGAAGAGAACGAAGAGTGAATTAGGCCAAAGTTAAAATTCCGCGACGTTGGTGCAACCGGGCCTTAGACTAAATAAAAATTGGATCGCATTTGCGCATATTGTAATTTGCAATGCTTCGTTTAGGTCCGCGATTTAACGGTTTCTCTTCCTGCTTATTAAATTACTTATTAAATTATTGTAAACACGTTAGAACGCCATTTGCGGCGGCCGCAGCCAATTCCATTATCAATCCCATTATCGCGAGCCGATATTTGCGAGCGCCTAAGATTGCCCATAAAAATTACTTCTCGCTTCCGCCAAATGAAGTTTGTTCAGGATAACGGAGATCTCCGGGAGCGGCAGAGCAGCGGCCGAAGGTGCTTTCAGTCGACGACAGGGAAACCCCGGCGAAAGAAACTTCTGGCGGTGACGCGAAAGGATCGCCGGTAAAATATGACACCGCTGTTTTTCCCGGAGTCTAGCAAAAATACTGTTACTTTTGCTTCCCTATCCGGCGAACACGACAACAAACGGATCCATACGTTACGTCAACTCGCTCTGTAACTTTCATGGAGAACTTTCGCTTTACAGAACGTACGGCGTGCCCAGAAAGAACTTCCTCCGCCCATTGAAATTCGACAAGGAAGCCGAGAAAAACCGGGTCTCTCCGTACATTCTATTTGCGAATTGGAAAATTTCTAAATGTAAGTGAAAGTTAGAAAAATTATTTTCCAAATAAGCTTGCGGTGGACGAATGATCAGCAATTTAATAAAACTTCCTGTAGGTAAGAAAAAGTCAAATAAGACCAATTAAAACGTTAGAAAAAGAGCGCTGTGCTATAAAGTTGTGAAAGTTGTAAAAATCCTGACATAGCTCAATTACTTTGCCTCGAATAATTTCCATAGTTTAATAAGACGCACAAGATATTCCTCACAAGTAAAGATTGAATATAGGTCTAAGTGCCGCGGGCGAATTCTCAACTGAAAGTTGTCTTCATTGTTATCATTATCCAAACGTCTTATCTCTTGCCGCGTATACAAGATGCGTAATTATTTCTGCGAATTAATGTTCCCCGTTACGCGCTGCTACGTGCTACACGCGGTAATTAAAAAATTTTATACGACGCGCAATTTGTCGAAGTGAAGCGAGACGCGCAGGACGAATGTGTCGACGATTAAGATCCAGCGTCGCAGTTCCTGGCGATTAAATTACGCGACGACGACATCGTGAAATATGCACGAGAGTGTCTTGAGATGCAGTCGTAAAAGAATGAAAGAAGACGCATAAGAAAGGGAGGTTCGGCTCCCTCGCGGTCCCCTCGCAGGGCGCCTCCGCCTGCGGTCTCCGCGATACATAAACCGGGTTTATTCAAGAAATCGTGACTTTCCCGGGAAATAGAAACCCGCAAAAAGATATCCCGCGGTCGTCTCTCTTACCGCGGGAGGGATTCCTGGTAACCCTCCTCCGCGCTCTTGCGAGAGGGAAATGGCGAGAGGAACCTCTCGAGGGAAGCCTCTTCCACCTAGGTTAGACCTTCCGGGCTTGGGAAATCGATAGACCCTCCCCGACCCTCCCCCTCCCAGTTTCCTGCGATTCTCCTCGATTTAGGGCTTGAGACCGTCTTCGCGTTCACGTGTCGATCGAGAACCCAATAATGTCTCACGTCAGAAACTGATTAAGGGCATGATTGCCGTTACTCTCCCTATATCCGCATTAACAAGTTCCTAATGTCAGTGATTTAACATAACAGATTTTGTTATTCAAATCATTGTTAATTGTAAAATCCCCCATACCGTTCGCTGTAAGTCAAATACTTAAATATCCGATTGCGAGTTTATTTATTCGGCAAAAGGGAATTGCCTTTTCGCGGCGCGAAGATACAATTTCTATCTTTTTCGTGTCTCTTTATTCTTGATATTTCCAAGTATTATAAACAATGAAATGTTTAGTTAGCTGCGTTAATTAATTACCGTGTTATTACGGTCGCGTTGCTTTTTCCGAACAAAAGAAGCCTTCGACAATGGCGTTTGAATCGATCCACGTTGTTCCTGTAAACGAAAAACGACATACGGGTCCCCGTCCCTATCGGCTACTATTGTGCACGCACGACCGGGAACGCCCGCGCGAGAACAAGCTCGAAAGCCGTTTTGTGCGCGATGGAAAAAAAAAGGGAAGAAATGGATACACTCGTTGCCAATTTCATCTCGTCCTTTGTGCAGTTAATCGGACGATTAATCACTACGTGCGAAAGGATTTACCGTTCCGGCATATAGGTCGCGCACAGCGGGAATTACTCCGCAACCCTGTATCTCGCACCTGCCTGTCGCGGGGTGCGTTGATCTCACGAGATGAAAATGGGACGGCGGAAGATTCGACGTCGCCGCGATTTATTTCCGCGTCGATTCGCCGCGCAGTCTCCAATAATTCCAGCATTTTATGCAGACCTCCGACCAAGTGGCAGGCCCTTTCTGCTCATAAGTGCCGCACTCTCGGGACACGCGGAGCCGCGGGATCGATGGACGCTTCGTCGCTGTTCGCCCGCAAAAAAAAAATCCCGAGTTTCGCGTGAAATTTGATAAATACGAGAAATCCGCGGGAGCCTCCGTAATGCGGGACACGAACGACAATTCGCTGCTCCGTTCGCTTTGGTAAACTTCTCGGAGCTGCGGATTTATGAAGCCAGCCCGCAAGAATTTTCGTTTGCATAATGTCTCGCGATGTCATGCGTACATCAGAAAGGAATGAGTGCTGTAAACAGGATGTTCCGTAAACTTCAGCATCGGGATGCATAAGCGTATTCATTGTAGCTAACTTTAGCTTCGTTCGCCGTTTAACGACGATGTGGAATCGCGAAGCTATTTAAGATTAAACATCAATGGCCCTCCGCGAAATGGAACTTTTACGGCGAGCGTCTACGACATCTTCTATCGTAATGTTTTTAAGGGAACAAGTTTTTGAAAATGGTAAGTCGCCAGTGACAAAAGAAATACAATTAAGAATTCAAACGACGCGGGCTGACGAATCTTTTATTTTAATAAAATTACGACGTTTCGACCAGTAATACTAGTCCTTTTCAAATATATCTTACGTTACACCCATCAATTGTTACAGCAAAAGATCTACAAACATATTTGGTGACAATTAATTACGATAAATTAGAGATTCGAAAAAGAGAAAAAAACCTTAGATGAATTAACTTACAGGAGAACATGTCGTAGTACACAAAAAATAAATAATAATAAAATATGTCCATCGAAATAAAAAGATTGATTACGTCACTCCGCAAATCGACAGACAGACGTCTAGTCACACAACAGCCCAGAGAAAAACTGCTCAGATTAAGTCGAGTGGGAACAGTAGTTTCGACCGACAAATCGTCAAAATAACAGATATCCGGAGGGGAAAAAACACAAATGTGAATAAATAAGTAATAAATTAGGTGATACGGACAATTTTATCATAGATAAAGTTAAGATTATTTGTGTCTTGTTGGAGGTTGATCGTTTTATGTTTTTTAATGAACAACATCTCCGCAATTTCTCTCTTTCTTGAATGTGATTCGTTATGTAAGATGGGTGTAACGTAAGATATAGGGTTTGGCCAATCAAAATCATGGCCGAGACATAATTGTAAGAATGAACTCGGCGAAAGTAAAATAACTTGTAAGCCAGCAAATTCTCTTCCTCCCTGTTATTCAATGGAGCACGAAGGAAACTTTACGCGTAATTTTAGCGAAGCAGTGACGAACAAACATTTCCGCAAACGTTCCTTAGAATGAACTGCCATAGTACTTTTACGAATTGGGGAGAACTTCTCCCTTTTATGCCGTTATCTAATAGCGGCCGTGAAACCGGCGATCAACGCGAGCCACGCGGACGGCATGAGTTCCAACAATGTTTGCCAGCTCGTTGAATTTATCTCAATTCCATTAGTCTTCTATATTTAGATGAGCCGCGCAGACCGACGTTTTGCAACATTGCCGCCAGTAAATCACGGGCACAGCCCTTCCTTTTCGGACGTTAACGAAATCGCGACGGTTAGACCTTGACGCAATTTAACCCGCTTGTTTACCCCAAGTAATTTTCGGCTCGAAATAGCCAAAGGTTCATCCGTGAAGATTCGCATCATTTGCGAACCATTTATCTTCCACGGCAACGATCGAATCCAGCCCGGAATATTTATCCGGCGAAAAGTTAATTTCAAGGAAAATACTTTCCGATCAGCTGAAGAATTAAAAAGAAAGAATGCTAAATGTTCGCCGCTCTCTATTATCTCCCGTGGGAATCTAAAAAGCCGCAACTTTTATATAAATATCCGGAACAAAAGGTTGGGAACAAAACGGCTATTAGGGATCCTGTTATGTGCGAGGAACACGAATAATATTTTATATTTATGCGATAAATTTCAATAAACCCCGCATCTCACTGCGTTTAATTAAATATCTCCGATACTTTACAGTCGTGAAGTTCTGACAGGAATATTGAACGGCAGCTAGCATCGAGGAAACCTGAATTTAATATCTTTAAATCAGTGCTTATTAACCCTTTGAGGCACACATTTTTCTATTCAACCATTTTTTGTGAAACTTTGTATACAAAAGTTTTTGGGGCCGCTGATTACGAATCCGCTATCAAATTTTTCATAATTTGGCGGATTCAAGATTGCGGCATCCAAAACTCAAAAGAATAACATCGTTCAACTGTAGTTCGACTATGCTAAGAAACATTATTTAGATATTGTGAGGACCCATGGAATCTAAATTCCAGTTGGAAATTCTTATAGAATGTAAAAAATAGCGTGCGCGAAACGGCGAATGCAAAATTGAAATTTGATCATTTCTTAGAATGT